TATGCATTTGTATCCCTACCGAAATCCAGCCATTTTCTCCATAGCATTTGTTATTTTTGAATATTTTGCCGTTACTGAATATAGGCGTATATATAAATTATTATATATTATAGGCCTATTATATTCTATAATACCGTACTCTATAGACACATAAGTTGTCAATTCGGTATGTGAGGTGTAGGCCTAGACCTAACTATAACAAAATAATATGGTTGATGGCTTTTATGTTTTATTACAATATTTTAAAAAATTATTTGACTAATAATATCCCACAATAATTGTTCAACCTAACCCAATTATTTCCCCAAGGTCAGGGACAGGTCAAATTTACTATTTGTGGCTCTTTATGTACCCAATGGCAGATTTTCTTTTTTAATGCCCACTTTTGTTCCAGTTCTACCTGTTGTTAAATTCTTTTGTTGTGTGTGTTGCTAAAGAGAAATAGGTTTATTGTTCGTAGATTGTTGGCGGAAATGCAAGTATTATTAACCACTATTAAGCTGAACACCTTTCCGCTTTGAAGTTCCAAATGTATATTTGTATTTCGGGATGATTCTTTGTTTCTGTTTTTGTAAAATTAAGCTACACATCATACACGGTAATTATACAAGACTTTCGTATTCCGGACATAAAAACACAACCACCAAAGAAACCCCAATGTAAATCATAATGTGTTTGAATTCAATTAATAGATTATCGCATGCGGTTATCAATAGAATTACCATGCAGGTATAAGGACAAATTAAACAAAAACTGTTATCAAATTTTTTTTTTTTTTTGATCGCCTTTTTTTTTTTACTTTCATTAAGCAAAACACCTAAAAAATCAAGTAAAATCCAATAATCCTCAATAAAGCGATGGATAAACGTGGCAGTTTCTCCTGGCATATGACCGAGCTAAGACTGTGTTGTGGAAATGTGTAGAAAACAATGGAACCTCCTCTTCACCGTTTTTTAAACCCTGAAAAGAAACATATTATTTTTATTTGGCCATAAATGGCGTTTACTGTAGATTTTATATAAACGTGTTCCACATTTTAACGGACATTTCCGCTAAGCTTCGTAAATAGGCGGCACCTATGCTAAAAATGACTGGCCTTCACATTGTGCTCATAAGATTTAAGCGCATTCCATTGCAACTTTTTTGGTGCCAACAATATTGTTTCGAGTTGTTTGCAAGGATTTGTCGAGGCACTTGGGCCTATATCGGAGTTACAATAGATACGATTCACCTGGTCCACTCAAATGAGTTGTTGGCAACAATGCCTCAAACATGTAACACGCCTAAGAATAACATTTCGTATTTATCAGAGAAGCAAAAACGAATTTGTTTGATTTTCACTATCAACGATCGATTAAACGATTCATTGATTTGTTGCCTTTTTTTTATTCTACATTCCTTCGTGACTGAGTGGAAGTTAAGATTTACTATTTTAAGTGGCTCTCATGATTTGACCGTCATAGATTCGAATTCATAATGTTATTCCTATAGAAATTAAACATCAACAACTCTTAGACCTATAATTGGCTGTGTGATAACGAGTAACCTAATCTAATAATGTATATATGTATACTGTATAATATTATACTCATATTAATTACGGTAATTTTATAACGAACTCTATCAAAAATTATTCGTATTTCGAATGTAATCATCCGTGATACGTCCGATGTGAATAGTAAGATGTCAAATCGAATTCAATATTCAATAACTATCATAAATATCCGTGACCTTGGCAATGTGTTAGCTATGTGGCGTAAACCTCAACCTATGACGGGAAACTGCTTCCATGTTTAGAATAATTGTATCCATGTTTGCTACGAATAACAATTATCATTGCAAAACTGCTTCATTACGCGTGCCCAAGTGTTAATACTCGGTGACGGCGCAATGCTTTTCCCCCAGTCACCTGATGCAATGCTGATTTATTTAACAACTAGGCCCGAAAAGGTGACTGTATCGATCCAAATTATAATTCGTTTGGCAGATTAGAACACGTTATTGAAAGTCACGTGACTGTCACTCATTCGGCAATTAACTTGCATCATCTTACATAATTTCATATCTTACAAAATCATAATGTCGATAGGCCTTATATTATAGATATGTTTTTTAACATCATTATAAAAATGTGCTATAGGCCTATATCTTGTTATTACATTATTTATATTATTTTATATAGGCCTATGCATCAAGAGTCGTATGTGTATGAATGTATATATGTATACACATTTTATAGGCCTATGTATATATAGGCCCATATAATATGTATATATAGGCCTATTATTATATAATATATACA